GACAGCTGTGACCTCAACGTCACAGGTAAGTAAAATTTTGCTACCAGATTTATTTCAGCAGCTGTTTGATCAATAAGACTGAGAAGAGAAGAGCTGAGGACTTAGACCACAGGCCTTCCTGCTCTGACAGAACTAAACTGACTCACTTCTTACAGAAATCTTTCTTCTTCACTGACACAGATTGTTTGGTCTCTTTACAGCAGTGAGGGACCGGCCTGAACCCAAGACAGAACCTGAGAGACCAGACTCAGCGGGTCAATATTTAATCGGCCTCTACTGTGGAGCTGGACTGACAGCAGCAGCTCTACTGACTGTTTGTTGCTTTTTATTCTTTAAGTCTCAGACTGGAAAACGATTTTGACCCAGAGTCCAGTGGTGGATCATTGGGAACGGTAGATAGATAGATAGAAATACTTTATTAATCCCAATCTGGGAAATTGCATTGCGGTTGAATTGCGGTTTGGTCAGTAGTGTAAATGAGACAAGACTGAGTTCACTTGTACACCACAGACAGAAGGACGAGACTCAGTGGAGCCGGAGAGGGGGGACATTGAATCCGAATAGATAGATAGACAGATAGATAGAAATACTTTATTGATCCCAAACTGGGAAATTGCATTGTTTCAGCAGCGGTTCACACTCAATATCAAGCACACATACCAATAAATAGAATAGATAACCCACTAAAAAAAAAAAACAAATAAAAATACATTAAAAGTTTAAAGAAGGATGAAGAATCTGAGGCCTCTCATCTCTGAGCTTCAGGGATCTGAGTGACGGCGCAAACCTTTGAACTCTGGTAGTAGATTAATGATCGAGATGACTAATGACTAATTGTATGACTGTGGAGTCCTGTTATACATATTCAGGCAATGGGATGCACTGCCCCTAAATATTTTCTGCCATGTGTGTAAGAAAAACTTGCACTGAACATAAGTATTAGAGCTGGGCCAGTCCAACAGATGATCAGTATGCACGCCAGCTGACAAATAAGTCTCAATTGCGTAGTTTGAAGCACTGCCAAGTCTCATTGTCTGAAGACCTTCACTGGCTACTGAGAGCATATTCTTATTAATCCACTGGATCTTGCAAACAGGACAGACACTGGCCATTACAACTTCATAAGGCAGACACAGGTTTATAGTGTGCCTGGACAAAACTCTTAAATCTTGAATTTTATTTTGGATTATGTTAAAAGGTTTAATAAACATCTCAGTTCCAAAATATTTGCATGTTCTGGCTATTCTTTGATGTGTCAGGCTTTACAGGGTTAAGTTATCAACGTATCTAGATGTTTTTCAACATTTTCATTATATAATTTATAATTAACAATGCCTCACCCACAGATTTACCATATTTGTCTTTTTTAAAAACAATTGTTTTTAGTGTTCCTGTTTTGGTTTTCAGGTATTTTTATCTTCTGTGGTGCTCGTTCTGTGACATCTTTTTGTGCAAAAAGTGTTGTACGAAATGTTTTAAGGTTTGCCAAGAGGGCAGTAGTATAATCAAATAACTGGATGAAAATTAGTGTCCATATTGTGTCTCATACTGGTCTAAAAAGTCCTCTGTATTAGGCAGGAAGTACATTATCTAAATGTATACGGATGCAGACATCATTTTTGGTGCAAAACATTTAACAATCAACGAAGGAAAATTTGAAACATTACAGTTTTATTTTCAAGATGAAAATAAAAATGTGTGCAGTTAATTCAATGCAAATGATCACATTTAGAAGCATCTGACCGAAGAGTGCCAAAGGACAAACAAACAAAAGGACACAGTTAACCCTTGTTAACAAGCTGTAACATCTGTGTCACAGAGAAGGTCACAGGTCCTTTGAGTTCACCTGAGCCATCAGCTGCTCCAGCTCTGGACGTGCCTTGAACCGCCCATGGAAATGGGCCTCAGTGTGCTGAGAGGAAGAGAGGAAATAGAGGTGTCAGGATATTGTTACTACAATGTCAAAACCTTAAGTTGCAGCACAGTGGGGTGACAACGGAAAGGAAAAACAAAGTGCTGCTGGTGGTCACGGTATTTTGGTTGGTTTTAATGTGGACTTGTGTTAATTAAATCATAGTTTTTCTTAATTTGAATTCTCAGACTATGTGGCCAAAAGTATGTGTCAACATTTTACATGCATAGAAAACATTATACCTCCAATGTTGTAGCAACAGTAATGTCGGGCTGCAACTAATGTTTGCTTTCACTCAACTACTCTGCTGTCAATTTTGATTTTATAAAATGAAATGTGAGAAAACATGAGAATGCCCATCACGATATCACACATACGGTGACCATGTCAGATGTCTTTAGTCCAAGCAACAGTCCGAACCAAACATGTTCAGTCTGCTTTAATGAGGACCTGGAGTCATTGCTTGGCAGTTCTGGTTCAAAAACAACCTAAACCATAAATAAAACTGAAATAGATCAATTTTCTTTCAATAAACTAATAAATTGTTGCAGCCATGCAGAAACAGAAAGGCCCTTTACTGTTTCAACATGTGAGAGAATGCCCCAGTTAAAGTTAGACCCCGCAGTTAGTAGAGAAACAAAACAATGACAAGTCCAAGGAACTGTCCACAACAAAATGAGAAAGTAAAGCTAGCAGGACTGCAAAATGCTTCCTCCTTAAATACAGAACTACCCTTTTACAGAATTATGAGAATTCTATCATATTTACTCCTATAAAAATCTGATTTATTTAATTTGTTAGTTTATTTAAACTTGTATGTGGCAGAGCTGTCGTCACAGTATCTCACCTCCTCCACAGAGAGCTGAACTCCTTCTGGTTGATTCTTCAAAAGAACCTCCATGAAGATGGGACACAGCGTGGCCTTCAGACTGCTCAACTAGAACAATTAGGTAACACTGTTCAGTAGCCAGGTCGTTGTCACTGAGTCAATAAGAGACTTAAAACAGATATAAAAATAAGTTTTACCTGGACAATTCGTGTATGAGTCTTCAGGATGGCATCAACATACATCTTAGTGCCTTGTTGCGGCATGAGCATGACCTCTGTGCTCTTGGTTGGCAACGCATAACTGCAAATGACAAACAGTGATTTAAGAAAAAGTTTTCTAATAAAAAAAAGAATCGATGAATTGACACGTTTTGATATCTATTGGATTCAGCTTCGTCTACTGAAGCATTTTACAGGATCACACGTGTCCATGTAGTTTATCTTCTCTATAAACGTACTATTCTTGTCATCGCTTAGAAGAGCTCCCTGACCTAGGTGCAGATACTGTACACAGTACCGGTGCTGAAGGTCTGAATGTTGTCAATAAAGTGAGAACAAATCAATCTTTCTTGTCAACCTGTTCCCTTCCATATCACAGAACAGGCTCCATAACTGAACTGAGTTCCATCCCATGTCCCCATGTCAGACTTTCTGCAGTGCAAAAACTCTGTTGTAATCACCACCCGCTGACACCACTGGTAAAAAGAAAAAGGGGAAAAAAGGGACCTGCTGTTATGTCTTTGTAAATCTTCTCACCATTCTGCCACTTGGATGCCATGCCGGTTGCAGAAGTTGTGGATGTACTCGGAGTAATGCTCCACCACTGTCATGTCATAACCAGACACCTTCACATTCAGAGTCCCGTACGCTGTATCTGTCGCTGCAATGATTTTCATTTGGGGTGTGTCCTTCTTTTTATTTGGCTAAAAAGAAACAAACAAAACATGACACACTATGACATTCTTCTACTAAACTCGGTAATCTTATCCCCTTTGGCCATATTAGAGGTACCGTTGGCTTGACTAATAGCAAACCCTCCAATCATTTAAATTTTGTGTTCTCTGTGTAGTTATTCTGTGTTTTTGTAATCTAAAAAACTGCCATTGATTACAGCCTTAGTTGATTTCTGTCTAATTCTGGCTGCACAATTACAGAAAAATTAGCAGAAAAATATTTTACTAAAAATGTAATGTTGTTTTAGTGTCTTACTGCTGTTTTAGGTACAAGATGTCTCCACCTCCCAATCCCATGGGTTGGCATGCTTCTATACTGTCTTTGGTTTGCAGAAGCTGTGCCTGAAGGGAACAACGTGCAAGTACATATTCCAGATACAAATGTCAGACATCTTGGTATTTTCTATTTAAATTTAACACAGGAGTTTCTATTATTTCCAGGCAAACGACACGTGTTTAAATACGCACCCCACACAGGATGCTGGATGGATGGGGCAGCCCTTTAAATACAACAGATGGATATTTAATTACAACAGATGGTGCATATCATCACAGTCGGTTTAAGACCACAGACCAGTTGATCAAAATGTTTTTTTACAGAAATGAAACAACTGCTGGTCTGTGATGACCATATGAGAATTAAAAGGAAAGCAAAGATTTACCGGCATAATTGAAGTGCTTCATTTAACACAAACGGCTGCTGTGTGAAAGACACCTGCAACTGGACAAAACAGGACATCATCATCTATCATATGTACAACACAGGTTTCTCAATATACTGAATTTAACAGTGTAACATTACTTGTTTTGACTACAGTTGAGCTAATCTGCCTAACAATGACAGAGTAGAACAAGGTTAGGTAAGATAACAGCTCACAAATAAAGGTGGATGCTGAATACCAAAAATAAAGCGGATGGAGGCATTTCTCTAATAATAGTCACATGATAAGAAAGGCTGGGAGTTTTATCTAGCTTCCACATAAAAACCAGCTGTTACTGGGAGCTACCTTCTGCCAAAGCACAACACTGATCTGTTATGGTCCGATAACTACAAGTAACTGTCTCATGACCCAATGGTTGGTCCAATGTGAAGATGAAATAACTGGTCCTTCCATAGAAAATGAAGCAGCGACTGTTTTGATCAATGAATTAACTGTTTCATTTTACTGCAAACGGATTATTTTGGTGTTTTTGCCTAGGTCATCTGGGGCTCTGGGAAACTTCTCTTTGGCCCCATTTCCTGTCTGCATCTCTCTGCTAGGTCATCTGGGGCTCTGGGAAACTTTTCTCTTTAGCCCCATTTCCTGTCTGCATCTCTCTCCACTTACTTTCGGTAAAGGCGAAAAGGGTTTTGGGACGTGCTGTCCTTAGTCCATGGACAGAAAATTGATTGGCAACTAAATTATTTTGATAATTAATTGTTTAACTGCGTTTAAGATGAATTGTCAATTAATGGCTTCATATTTTTAAATGCGACAATTTCCTGTATGTCCTTGTCTTGACATTATAGCAAAATATTCGTTTTATATTGTTAATAAGACTAAACAAGACATTCAGTTAGACAGCTTCACCTTTAGTCTGTGACAGTTTTCAATTTTCTGAGGGAGCGACTAAGCTAGCAAATAGGCTAACCGGCACATCAACCGATAATGAAAACAAGCACATCCCTAAGAGTATTGGCCAAGTAACTAACGCGTAAATCTCAAATTCATATGTATATGAAGTTTAATAGAGGTCTTTTGACTGTCTGTTACACATATAACGTTAAATCATTTTAACGCATCGCTTTGGATTGGACACAACGTCAACTACTTCTCTCCGACCCCTGAAAATATTTAGCAAAGAGAAAACAAAAATAAGGTTACCTTTCGAAAAACAGTATTCATAACTCAGCCCCTTTTGTCCTAAGAACACACTGCGCGTTGTGGTGTGATTCTACGATTCATCTATACATAACTAGAAAAGATAACACCCAAAACATGCCCTGAATGTTGCCGAGCTTAACACCGGAAGCTCTGAGAAACTACTCAGTACGTCCCCTATTAAGTCCGCCGGTTAAACGCGTCGAAATAAAGGTTCCGAAACGGAAATCATTCTGCTTCTGTCCCTTTATAAAGCAATACTGACTGTATTTCTGTTAAAATGTAATAAACAGTAGAAATTATCGTTGTTGGGGCCATTTCTTGGTACCAAATTTGTTTTTTGAACTGATATTACCTGCAGGAGTTGAATGTCCTAATCGTGATTGTTTTTAAACACCTTGCAATCTTTTTTAAAAAGTAGTCAACATTGTGTGTACATACATATATACAGACAGAATATTAAGACATAACATTTTCACTATATTATTTCCTCATCAGCTTCAGTGTAGCTAAAGATTGACTAATTTGTTAAACTGTGTACACTTGCCTTCATATTTGCAAGAATGACAACTGTACTCATTTCAACAAGCTTTATTATGTTTTAATTATTCCAGCTTGGCCCCACACAAAAATCCACTTTATCAAAATAAAAGCCAGCTTTTAACATTCAAATATTTCAGGCCTACAGCAGCACAAACTTTTTTTTTAGTAAAGTGCAAAATTCCCCATCACCTGAAACTAATATTTTAAGATTAATATATGAACTGTGCATAGGAACATTTGACTTTTTTTTTTAAACAAAGCATTAACTGCTTTTAAAGCACTAGAAGTTATGAAAAGCAAAGACATCCTGTATTCTATGTGAGTTGTTATATTTTGAATTTCTTTTTCTAAACATCATGCCAAGCAAATGAACTTTTCAAGTCATCCATGCAAACACATTCTTTGGATTGCAGTGTTCAACTCTAGCATGAATGAAACAGTCTCAACAGTCGATACACACAGGACTCATTCAAGTAGGTATTTACAAGTCTGGTGTTTTTGCTCAACTTTCTCTCTTTCAGGTCAAATATAAATAACAAAGTTTACAAGTATTCTGATCCAAAAGCTTTTTACTGTGATAGAAAACTGGGAGATTCAAGGAATCCAGAAATTTTTGTATCTAGGTTTGGTAAATTTAAGCAAAATAATTCCAGAAGCTTTGTCTGTAAAAAGACCTCCTCCTACCTAGCAACTGTTGTATCAAACATTCAGGTGAACAGGTTAAAGCTGTTGAACCACATTCATTCAAAAATTTCAGACAAATGTCCATCCATCCATCCATCCATTTTCTTCCGCTTAACCGGGGCCGGGTCGTGGGGGCAGCAGTCTAAGCAAAGATGCCCAGACTTCCCTCTCTCCAGACACTTCCTCCAGCTCCTCCGGGGGAATGCCAAGGCGTTCCAGGCCAGCCAAGAGACAGTCCCTCCAGTGTGTCCTGGGTCTTCCCCGGGGCCTCCTCCCGGTGGGACATGCCCGGAACACCTCCCTAGGAAGGCGCCCAGGAGGCATCCGAAACAGATGCCCGAGCCACCTCAGCTGGCTCCTCTCGATGTGGAGGAGCAGCGGTTCTACTCTGAGCTCCTCCCGGGTGACCGAGCTCCTCACCCTATCTCTAAGGGTGCGCCCGGCCGCCCTGCGGAGAAAGCTCATTTCGGCCGCCTGTATCCGGGATCTTGCCCTTTCGGTCATGACCCAAAGTTCATGACCATAGGTGAGAGTCGGAACGTAGATTGACCAGTAAATCGAGAGCTTCGCCTTACAGCTCAGCTCCTTCTTCACCACGACGGATCGGTACATCGACCGCATTACTGCAGAAGCTGCACCGATCCGCCAACCCTACCTTTGAGTTCAGCAGTATGCAAGACAGGCTTGGTATGACATTCCCTTCAGTAAATTCTCAATGCAGTCTTAAATCCAGCTGATTTAAATATGGAAGTAAATCCTCACCATAGCAATTGAGAGTATACAGGTACAGATTTGTAAGCGCAGAATCAGATTTGAGTGTAATCCTAGCCATACACGTGCTCGTTTTTAAGTCTGTGCTCTGTGATTTCTCCACTGGGTATTGTGTAAAAAGTCTGTTGGTGCCAAAGGTTTGGGAAGGTAAAGGTTCTTGGAATACTTGCAGTGTTCCGAGCAACTTTAACGCAAAGATAAAAGACCAACGCATTTCAGCATGAAGCCTTCGCCAGGGTATGTTAAATACAAGACTCTTTGTTGTTGTGTGCCTTTAACAATTTGTTTTTCCTGTATTCATGCACCTTGACAGTTGAAATTTCCCCAGATACCGAGGCCGGTTCTGGAATCAAAGGTTTTGAAAAGGCACAAAACAAGTTTCAAGAGCTGCTTACTTTGAAAGTCAGAATGTAAGAACACGTGGGCATGGATTTGCAAGAATAGAATCAGGTTTGAGAGCAAGGGACGATCCCTGCTGCTCACTCAAATAATGTTGCGCTCATGATTCTGTCTTCTCAGATCTGACTCTGGTCTTAAAAATTCATGACTGCGTGGTGATTTGCAAAGTGAATTGTGCAGGAAACCTCTTTTGTCCACTTTCAAACCTTTTGCCAACAACATATTTTCACACAAAACCCAGTGAAGAAATCTGTGTGCAGACTCAGAAACATGTCCATGCATGGCCGGGATTACACTCTCAAATCTGCCTCTGCACTTACAAATCTGTGCCTGCACGCTCTCAAATTCTGAGGTACAAAGTGAGTAGCACCTAAGATGTGACTTGTGCACATTCAAACATTTTGGTGGGGACTTACTTCCATAATCAAAGCTGCCATCCTCCGGTATGTCTGACTGACTGAGGAAAAGCGTGGCAGCTGCTCGAGTCCTGTACTGCACCTTGGACATTTAAAGAGAAGATGGGTGCAACACTACAACAGACATCAGAACCTTCTGCTGAATTCATCCAGAGGTTAGGATCAAATTTAAAGTGCTTCAAAAAGGTGTAAAAATATATGTATACAAAAGTCCTCGTTAAACGCCCCTCTCTTCCTCATCCTCTTCTCCACTGTCTTCTTCCTCTTCTTCTCCGTTGTCTTCTTCCTCTTCACCTTCCTCGTCCTCTTCCTCCCCTGGGCTGTAAAGATCATCAGCCAGCTCAGTCTGGTCAAGTCCTTCCTCATCCTCATCCTCATCTTCATCTTCTTCCTCCTCCCCCTCACTCCTCATTTCTTCTTCGCTGCTGTCATAGAGGTCATCGTCATCGTCCTCATCGTCCTGCTCCACAGTCTCTTCGTCATTCTCCTCCTGCTCCTCCTCACAATCTGAGAGATGACCTGACGAGTGCACAAAGGTATTTTGTTTAACAATGACTGACGACACAAAGTGATAGTTGTAGATGGATAAGAACATTTTTCCTTACACAGTGAATTAATGGCATCACTAATGTGACAATGTAGCTCCTCATTAAGGAATGTTCTCATTTCTTCGTTCATCATTGTTACAAGAACCTCTGAGTCCATGTCTACGTACTCTGGGTAGTACATGTTCTTTCTTAGCTGCCGACGACACCTGAAAGACACATACATTTGAAGAGGAGTTTTTTTTACATCTATACACGTTATAATAAATAAAGATCTGCAACAATTAGTTGATCAACAGAAAACTAATTGACTTTGATAACTGACTGTTGTAATAATTTTTTAAAGCAGGATTGCTAAAAGTTGCCAAGATTAGATTTATGATATATGACAGACAATACAGGACTGACCTGGAAGCATAAACATTAATCACCTTGGCTATTACAATTCACACAGTCCGTTTAAAACTATTTTCAGACTGATAAATCAGACAATAATCTGCAAAATTAACTGAAAATCAAAATAACTCTGCTGTGGCCCTGGATAAATAAAGTAGTACTCACTGTTTTCCTGTTGTCTTATATGCCTGAAAAAAAGTGACAAAAATAGATGTCTGAACACAAATGCAAAACGTAGATTTCCAAAATCAGTCAGCTGCAAAAAACAACTTCTAAATCAGTGCACTAAATTTACTGCATGACAAACTCCAAGTTCCAAATGCCTACTTTAACCTCTGCTAAATATGAACATGCCAATAGCACATCACTTTACATAAAGGACATACATATTTTACCCTGTTAGACACGCATCACAATCAAGTGCCGATACTGCTGAACAATTTCCAAACTACTGTCTTTCTGAATACTTTGGGAAATGGCTGGCACTGATGTAAGAGCTGTATGATTTGTGCTCAATATGCTGAACAGCTTGACAAGTTTGTGCAGCATCTTGCCTCGATGAAGCGGAAAGGGTCGTTTTCCTGCATGAGGCTCTCGGTGCCACGGCGGACCTCCTGGAGACGGGCCTGGTCCTGAGAGATCCTGGAGAGGTTCTTCTCAATTGCCAGCCCGTTTGTGTCACAGTGAGCGTGAGTGCACTGTCGCAATCTGGTGACAAAGCTGAGAACTTTGGCCTTCATCTCTTCACCCAGTCTGTTCAAGCACTGCTCCGAGTCGTCCATGAACTTCTAGATGGGGAAATGAGAAGCCACACAGGGTGTCAGGACGATGGCGCATTTGTTTCATGGAAAAGAACTGAAAAACTGTGTAAAATATTACACAAGGTTTTTGGGGAATCAACCAATTATTTGTTATTAACTTTTAATGTCCAAATGTTTCAATTGAATTTTAAACCAACTTAAAACTTGTATTTCATTTTCAGATCCAGTGTTCTGACTTGAAATTATCTAAATAAATGTATAATCAATGTCCATCTTTGTTATTATTAAAGTTTAGAAGCTCATCCTAATCCAGATCTACCCAGATGGAAACTAGCCCCTCTGTCACTAATGGAACATGTAAACATTATTGCTCTACACTGCTTCTTGTTTCTATTTCAGACGCTGCCTTTCTTTACTGGTTTGGGAAAAAAATAGATACATTTGCCTTCGTAGAATGATTAAAAAAAAAAAAACAAGACTGGAAATGAAAGTAGATAAAATCGATTTTAAAAAGTGGATTATGTCTTCCCAGTTCACAGAACTATACTGCCTTAAAACCAAAAACTGGCACACAGAATAAAATAAAGACCAGCTGGGTCAGATGTCAAGTAATATCAGAACCATCATGAATCATTTTGATACAATACATAGCACGAAGAGAAGCAAATTTAGGTTCAAAAAGGCACACAGGTGTTCAGCAATTTGATAAACTAGACAGGCAATAGGTTACTTCATATGTACAGATGAGTAGAGAGTAGTATATTATATGAACATTGAAACTGCTTTGAAATGAATTACAAAGAAGTGACTGCAAAAGAAAAACAAAATGGACAGAAACTTCAAACTGTAAACATGAACTACTGTGGTAATCTGTGAGCACAAAACATTACAAAATAAAAAGGTAAGCTGTAGGAGGTTTGGATGCTAATACAAATGGACTGAGAATATGTGTCATCCTACCGTATTCTGTCTCTCCTTCTCCTTCTGCTCCTGGAGTTTCTTCTCCGCAGTGCTGTACTTCCTTTCAACTCTGTACAGCTGCTTGTCCAGCGTGCCCTGGTGAACATGACGAGGTCTTCATGAAACAATATCACAGTAGAGTTTAAATACTCTCCAACACAAATATGTGAGTTTAAGGGTTGAAAGCTAGCACTGTACCCAAGACAAAATATATTGCTAATGATAACGCCACACCCACTGACGTATCGTCACATTTGAAGAGACGCTTATTAACCTGTTCTCCCTGATGGTGTTTATGTAACATGTTTAATTGAACAGACTGAATACCCACAGTGACAAACTGGAAGCCTCTCAACTCCAAACTCTGGAGAATGGAAGCACAAGAAATGCTCCTATAGAGAGATCACCAAGTCACATGGCTCATTCAGTTACACGGACGACAACAGCGGACAGTATTCATTCATCAGGATTCCACATTCATCATAGGACTTAGTGTGAGCCAAACAATGAGGTGGTGGTTATAAAGAATGAAGTACAAAACGTCAAATTACAAGCTCCAACACATTTACTTCAGGTTATCAGGAGTTGGGAAAATATGTTCAACTATTTACAACATAATAAACCACAAATGTGACCAAGTGGAATGTGATTTCCCATAATAATACAGACGGTGTAGAAATAATGATCATCATAAAAAGTATACCTTAAGATCTTTCATCATGTTTCTCAGGGTCTTCATTGTGTGTCCCAGATGTTCTCCCTCTATGGTGCAGGCGTGGCACACATACACCTTGTCATCCATGCAGTAGTATCTGGAGGTGTGCATCAAATAAAAAGAAGATTTACAATTTTTAAGAGAGCACTGGCATCACATCAGGAATCAGAGTGACACTTTTAACAAAGATCAGCTAAACATCACCGACTCTAAATACTGCTTTTTTAAACCAGTTATTTGTGACCAAACTGGCAGATCACAGTAACATCTGTGTTTCCCATACCATTATATTAGTGGTGCCCCCTTGAAGGTCAAGTTAATTTTATTTTCTATATATATCAGATCACAACAGAAGTCATGTAAGGTTACCTTTCCTATAGAACAGGTCTATAGTGTGTTCTTTTATTAAACAAACCAAAAAGCCTTATGTTATTTATCTTATTTACAGGACAGCATGTCATTTCTGTCTCTACATGGCCCCCCACAGCTGTAAACCTAGGGGAAACACTGAACATTATATCAAAACCTTGTGGAAGAAAAGCTGAATATCACTTCAACAGACACTCTGTCAAGGTATTAACAGTGTAAGAATGAGTGCTCATGGCTCCTACCTGTATATCTCATCATGATTTGGGCACTTCCTCTTCCATAAATTGTTGATTGGTTCTGTCAGGGGGTGTTCATAGAACGCCGGCAGCTCAAGATGTGGCTTTACATGTTCCTGGCACATAGACACCTCGCACTTCAGGCACGTCCTGACTGCAAACATTGGTGTAGCAGCAGCTTCCTGCTTCTCATTTCCCTCTTGAGAAACAGGACCAGTAGAAGGCCTGCCCTTGTCAACGCTGATGCCCGATTCCTCAGTGGTGACCGTGGGGCAGTAGTCGCACAGAACAGGAAATGCACTTGTGGCTTGCTGCGCTGCCAGAGAAGGTGACAGCAACCCTGTGGATTTTAAAGCTGTAACAGCTCCAGTGGTAGTTCTGCGCCGCTGGCGGTAGTCATCAGCAATATTGGCTAGTTTGAAGTTTTTCTGAAATTTGGTGCCACACCTGTGGCTCTCCCGGCACTCTGGGCAGCGGAAGCGATCTCGATCAGCTTGCTGCTTTAGGTAATCGAGGCAGGTCTTGCAGAAGTTGTGGCCACAAGGAAGTAAGTGGGGATCTCGGTACAAGTCCAGACACACCGGGCAGGTAAGCTCCTCTTGCAGGACTCTGGACTGGTCTGACTGGGATGAGGCCATGTCAGAATTCAGACTGTGAGGCCAGAGAGATGAGCTGGAGGAGGAGGAACAGAGACTGCAGGTTTCCTGGGGTACTGTAGATGTCAAGTTGCTGAAACTATGAGAAAAACAGAAATGCTCATTGTTAAAAGTTGCTTTAATAATTGTGTTAAAGCCGTCAGTCAATTCATCAATTAGCTGACAATTCTGATAAGTCACTAAACAAAACTTTTAAATTTCAGTGGCTTAAATCTTGGACTGTTAGGTGGACAAACATAAATAAATATAGATAAAAGATGACACTTTAGAATCAGGAAACCCGAGAAAGGCAATAAATATAGATAAAAGATGACACTTTGGAATCAGGAAACCTGAGAAAGGCTTTTTTTCACTAGCTGACACGAGAAAGGCTTTTAGGGGGTGAACAAATTACTGATTAATCAGTTGGTTGCTTTTGCAGTTAGTCTATTAAATATTAGCTTAGGTCCAGAAAAATCCAAGACAATGGTGAAAAATGTCCATCACCATCATCTTTCACTAAAATCCACTACCTCCTTCTTGTATGTGCGTCAATAAAGAACCAAAAATGAAAGTAAAACATACTTTAACAGGCCTAGAGACAACCCCCCCACAAGGTCGCTTGTTGTGCTCTTTAGTTTAAAAACAGCCTCTCTGATGAGGCTTTGACCTCAAGATAAAGTGAAAACCTTGTTTATACAGTACAAAACGTGGCCACAGTATGGCACTGTGACAGTGGTCCCCCAGTCCTCTGCCCGCCAGCGACACACAACACAGAGGTGGTAAAGCTGCTCTGACAACGGCCACCCTTTACATAATTTATCGCAGTGTATTTGGCGTGTTTTCCCGATGCTGCCTTAACGCCATGTTAAAGCAACAACCAACAATTAGCCTTGTCTTCTTGTTACGCTAATCTCCACCTGGCTGAGTTGCTGCGGCGGTGATGAGCTAACGTTAAAGCATAATTCGATAGAGAAACAGACAGGCTGGTAACGCAACTCACCTTGATAATTTGGGTACTTATATGCTGGTTTCGTACAAAGCTAAGTCAATGGTTTCGAGAACTGTAACGCCAAAGGCTGTCTCTACCACACACGATGAAGCTAGCGTTCCAAATCTCCAAGATGCGGTGTACCTGTCGGGCTAACACGTCAACGCTACGTCCCGTTAGTTCTGCCTCGATAGTTTCCACAGTGTCCGAAACAGCTCGGGCTGTTTTAGGGATCCGAGAAAATGTCCTAGTCATTGGCCATTTAGCTACTTTCTCTTCTGGAGCATTCTGCATTTGACACAAGTCGACTGGCACCTGCGATAAACAAACGGACAGTTCAGCTAGCCACAGCCTGGTATTGCGGGGATAATGCTGCCTTCAATGTTCCTCGGAAATTCTGGTATTATCCCATGTTAACTATAAATGCTTGAAGGCTGATAGCGCTGTTACATAAATGTTGGCACCGTTTCCTGTGTTGCCATGAGCGGGTTTTAATATTCAGTGATTAATTTAAGTCTATTTAACACTATACATTTGTTAAGTTTATTTTTAATGATATATATGAAAAACTACAAAATGGGCAGAAACCTATATAATACATTATACCAGATGGTATCATATGTGGGAACGCTGTACATTTTATATAATTTAAACAATTTGCGATAAGATTTAAAGATGTTCTTTATATAAGATGATATTTATACACAAAAATAATAATCTATGCAAGTTCTATCTAGTTGTTTTCCCTGACCACTTAATGCAGGCTATTTAACAGGATGTAATGAAAATTCAATAGCATGGTCTTTACCACTTAAAAGATGTGAAATATTTTTTATTTGTGAATTAAAATAAACAATTAAGAGACAAATTAGACACAGGCCAACCTGACTCTCACTTTACCATACTTGCCAGATCAAGTATACTTAACTCTAAATATAATGTTTCCGGCAGCACTTGAAGGCAGCAAACATCAGTGCCCCATTAGGCCTGTAGTTAAATTCTTCGAAAGCACAGAGAAAGCAAATAATCCCGTTGGAAAATTGTATTTCTGAAACAGCATACATTATTTTCACAACACATTTCTTTAAAACAGTGAATTACGCATGTTAGAATACACATATACAGAGTTATAGTAAAAGGAATACAACCAACAGCTTATATCATAAAACACAAAGCAAACCAATAAAACACTTGGAAGATAATGATTGCTCATGGTTAAAAAAAAGAACATCAAAAGATTTAAACTGGACTTTAAAATAAAAAAAAATGTTTAATGCACCATTCACCTTCACAAAGCCAGTAATAAACTGTGGGACATAGGGTTCAACATATCACTACTGTCATCAACGCATCCTCAAAAGTTATCACACAGGTGATTTCACACTTTTCTGACACAGGTGACCCTGAGCATTTAGTTTTGCATCTGAGTTGTATAGTGTCAAGATCACTATATAGTATGGCTGTTTTGGGGGAACCATAATTTTTTACATGATTTCTTATTACTTTTTGTCTGAAAACAATCATCTTTAGCCACACTAGCAGCATGGTTTTATGGATGACAGTATTGTTCTACTGGTCATTCCACTACTTTGGTCCAGACTGAAATATCTCAGCAACTAATGGATGGATTGTCATTAAGTATTGTACAAGCTTTTATGGTGCCCATAGGATAAAGCCTACTGACTTTAATGATTTCATTGTCCAGACATGTGAGAAACTCCCACTTTGAAGAGGACAGGGCCCCGAATGGTGAAGCCAAGATAGAAAAGCATGGAGCTCTGTGCTGAGCTACCAGCCTCTACTAAAGCCTTTATTCTCTTTTCTCCAGCAAAAACAAACATTTCCTGTTCTTCATGGCCCTGTGGTATCATAGGAGACTGGCATGGCTCTACCAGGACTGGGAGAAGGATATTTGTAATCTCTGGGATTTGCCACACTTCCCCATTCATCCAGATTTCACTGATCCGTCTCATTTTCTTTCGACATTTAACCAATTAGCTCAATGTTCACCTTTTTTTTCCACTATGGCATCCAACTTTGATTTGTGAATCCATTTTTTCAGTCCAGAGCCCTTTCCAAGGAAAAACAGAGGCAGAAGGTAACGGCCTCTAAAGTACTTGGCATACTTCTTGGCATATGCTTCCTCCATTAATGTGACATACTATTGCAGGTCAAGCATGAGGTGAACAAGCAGCTGTGCAGGTTCTGCTCCTGTTTCTTGTTCCTCTTCTGACCAGTTGTTCTCAGTGGTCTATTGCTCCACTTGTTCATCGCCCTCTTCTCGCACTGCCTGAAGCTGCTCTTCGGGCCAAAACAGCAGCAGAGCCATAAGATAGAATTCAGGGCTTCTATGCCGTATGTCTGTGCCCAAGAATCTGTGAATTATTGTTTGGAGTTCTTTCACCAGGGTGAAGTGCTGAGAATTAGGCATTCTGTTCCTCAGGATGATGTTGGAGAGGATGTACCTCTCTGCTACTTTGACATTGGCAGCGTCTTCTTCGTAAGTGGTTTTCAAAACATCTCGGATCACCTCTAAATCAGACACATTTTTCTCAGCCTCTGCAAACTTAGCACGCCTTCCCTTTGACATGAAAAGTCCATGATTGAGATAATCGAGAAGGCCCGGAAAGCTGGTGGATTCAGCTGCTGCTTTTGTTGTGTAGTATTTGTAACAAAGTGCAACATCCTTCCAGAAGTAAAGTTGTCTTGTCAGGCTTGGAGTACGTTAGGTACCACTCAAAAAGTCAAACTTGGCCTCAACTTCCATTGTTTTGACCATCAATCTCAAGTATTTTTGTAAAGGAGAAGGTGTTGGATTTCGGATTTTCTCGAAGGCTATCTTTGCCCCTTGAATAAAACCAAAACAGCCTCTGTTGTTGAAGGAATTTGAAATTCTTACAGCGCCTGCCATGTCTTTCATCTCTTCTTTCTCAGCTTTTTCCTCTACCTCTTTAAATGCTCTGAAGGCTACTTCTGCAATCATTACGACATCCTGTTGCTCAGCGTTCTTCAGATGGTTTTTATAAATCTGCCCAAGAGTGTCAGCCATGTAAGAGTTGTTTGGAGCTCTTCCAATGGCTTTATTTGCCCAGTATTTAGCTTTTTTATAGTCAGGAGTGTCTCTTCCAATGTTATACAGACGGGCAATGGTTTGGGGGAAAATGGAGTAACATGTGAATTTAGATGAGGCAGTTTTCGAGACAGAAACAGCATGATAAAAATTCTTCTTCCGTATATCTTCTGTCAGCCTTGAGAACTTCTCTTTACCGCTTCCTGTCATTTCTCTCTTTGTCAGTAGCTCTTTGACGTATTGGATTATAGATGGTTCGGCCTGATCACTACAAAGTACAGACATTATTTTCTTCACTGTTTCACTCATGGAAATCCCTAAGTAAGCTAGTAGAGCCACAACGCCCTCTGCAGTTATTGGGTGAATCATACATACATTTCCAGGGTTTGGTTTGGATGTGTTGATTAGGGGGGTAAAAGGCTTCATTCTTTCTTCAAATGGAGGGCCCCCATGAATGGGATCAGGTGGTCCAAGGATCTGCTGACACTCACTCATCTTGAGGAAGGACTTGGGGATGTACACATTCAGCAGTGCCAAAAAAAAAGCAGCAGCGTGTTTGATGGACTTTTGTTTTTTTTGCACATACTGGCAAATATTTTCAAGAAGCTGCATAGTGTATCTGCTCAAAGCTTCCTCTACAGTCATCTCCTCACCCCCGTCCACAAAGGTTTCATCTCTGATGTCAGCGGTCATAGTTTCTGTTGAGTTCTGCTCCAAGGTCAGCAAGCTTGGAAATTAAAAAGAGGATGAAAGTGAGTATTATCAATTTTTTTGTCTTCAGTTCTATTTAAAAAAAAAACAAAAAAACATAAGAGCCCATGTTATGCATTTTGTTTTAAAATACAGAATAGTTTATATAGTCTATTGTTATTATTCTATACTATGCAGTCTGTGAAAGGTACCACATTTTAAAAAAGGTAACCTTCATAAAGCATTATTAGCTTCACTATGCATGGCTCTATGATGGCTGGTCAGTCTTTCAATCACCTTGGTTCAGATTTGAATACCTCAAAAACTATTAGATGGATTTACAGATGTTGTACAAACAGTCACCAGAGGAGGGATCTTAACCAGTAATAATTATGGTAATGATTGAATTATTTTTCCCCGTAGGCTTTTCCCCGACAGAGGTCACCACAGCAGACTCATTTAATAAACACATTTCATTTAGCATGGTTTCTATGACGGATGACCTTCCTAACAAACCTCTGGGACAATTTAGAGTCGCCAGTCAACCTAACTTGCATGACTTTGGACTGTGAGAGGAAGCCGGAGTGCCAGGAGAAAACCAGCAACACATTAGATGCTTCTGTGACCATTTTTCCTTATCAATACTTTTTACCACAGAGTTGATGACTCAATATTTAGAACTGAAAACCTTATCACTTATATGAAAAAAAGAAATAGCATTGATTTACTGACTAGACTCAGAGGTTTTTCACAACCTGGAAACGCCAAGGGCTTTCTTTCCGTTAATGGTTTATAACTGAGCTATAATATATTACTAACTTCTTTAGTAAAAATAACACTACTAACAGACAATTCTTTTTTTATCATTAAAAGTTTCACTATGATATTACAATACACTGATTTTGTTTAATCTAGAAGAATTTAAACTACTAGTTTTTATATTTTCAACACAGACTTACCTCTCCTCTTGATGAAACCTCCCACAGCCCACTGCTTTTGTTGTTCAGCGTGTATGTTGGGAGCAAGCACAGAGAGTTTGGTCAATTTTTTATGTCACTTCCAGCAAAACCTGACCAGTAATGAGTTGTGTCGGAGTAAAAAAACATCACTTGGTTACTAGTGGCCCTTTGACATTTGGTAGTTAAAGCAGCTGCACCTCTGTGTTGTCTGTCAGCAAAGTCGCTTTGCAAGTCCTGCCAAGCTTGTTTCTAAAGTCCAACATATCTAGTAAAATTAAAATTGTCGTTTTAAGATGTAGAAATACTATAATAAAATCACTAAGAACTGTATACATTTTCATTGCTTTTAACAATTGTTGCACTTACAATATTTGACACCACTGAAATTTGCACTTACAAAAATATGTTGCCAGAATACGACCTTGAAATATATGTGCTGAAATAACTAATTACAGAGTTTGTGGATATTTTTTTTTTATGCATCTTTCTTAAACTTCTCACAATGTTAGGATCCAGCTAGAGGCGAGGGAGAGGCGGGCAGGATCAGATGGCAGACTCCAGGTTCTGGACTGCAAGTTAATTTCACAGTGGGACAAGGAGAATGGAAACAGAGTCTGTAACTGGCAGGCAACGTCCTGCGGCAGCTGACA